CCGCCGCCCCGGACCGGCCCCCCCCCGCGCCGCGCGCGGCGGCGGGGGGGCTTCTGAGCCCCGAGGCGGGAGGAGGCCGGGCTCGATGCGATGCGATTCGATGCGCGCTCGCTCTCGGATCGGTCTCCGTCCGTGCCCCTCGGGGCGCGGACGCTCGGGCCGTGTGGCCTCTCCGTGGGACGCCAACTGGTCAGAGTGGGGCCCGACTGCCAACATGGGAAAAGCGTGCATCGCTGGCGTCGTGGTGCCTGCTGATGTCATGTCTTGCAGTCCTGGTTCTCCGCGCTGGTGCTCCGATGAATCCCTCCTCGAAGCCAGGACGAGGATCAAATCGGGTGAGGATGCAGTCGGCCCGTATCAAAAGGATGCGCGAGAAGGATGCAAGGGCCTTGGACGCCCCTTTCGAAGCTTTTCGAGCGGGGCGCGGCCAACGAAAGCGGCAAAGGATGGACCGGGGAGGCAAGGACGCAAGGGCACCCTTGGGAGGGCTGACCATCCTTACTGTGCGGCTTGACTGTAAGACGAAGCCAGGGCGAAGATCAAGTCGGGTGAGGGTAGATCCAAAACCTTTGAGCTCGCGTCTCGGGTCGGGCGAAAAGGGGGATAGCAAAGGGGGGGGGGGGGGGGGGGAGAATCAGCTCACGTAGCTGATTTTCCCGGCGCCTCCCGGCGCCAGAGGCGACTATGTATCGAGGAATGGGCCCCTCGGTGGGGCCGAAACCAGCTGCACGCAGCAAATGTTGTAACCCCCCATTTCCCAATCCCCCCCGTTCGCCCGGCCCGAGCGCCGGGGGTCTCTGCGCTGGCTCTCGGCGGGTCCCCGGCCTCGGGGTGCCTCCCCGCAGCTGCGCCTCGCCGAGAGCGCGTTTTTGTTATGGGGGGGGGTGCGCCCCGACCGCCTGCCCCATCGGCCGCCGGAGAGCCGAGCTGCAGCCCGAGCACCGAGCCTCCTCGCGCCGTGGGCAAGCTCGGCATTGCGGGCAACGTCTTTATCCACATCCAGTGCGCCTTGGAGTTCCGGACAAATCTTCCCAGGAACCATGAGGCGCACTGGATATGGATGACAATCTGCCTCCAAGAGGCTCCATTTCTATCCATGTCCAGTGCGCCTCGGCCTCGCGGCGCCCCTTCCAAGAAAGTCCAAGACGCACTGGACATGGATATAGATATTGCCCGCAGGCATGGGGGGGGGGGGGGCCTTTTGGGGGGGGGGAGGGGCCTCGGGAGGGGGGGGGAGGCCGTGGCGTGCAGAAGCGGCGGCACGCCACGTCGCCGAGGTGGGCCGGCGCGGAGCCCCCACGGTGGCGGGTCCCAGGCCCCCCTCGAGCAGTGGGAAAAATCATGCCGGGAGGTTTTTCACCATTTTCGGCATCTGGAGGCCCTCACTGGGTCACGGGGCCGTCAAAAATCGACTCGGGATGAAAAACGGGTCCCACGGAAGGGGTCCAGACCTCTGGGGGTCGACGCTGTGGAAAAATCACTGCGTCGGGGATCTGGGCTCTGGACGCCCGAAAGGCGTACGAAAAACATGGGTACGATGCCCAACAGCCGATGTTGTCCAAGACCGACAGTGGCCGCTGTTGGGCAGGCGGCCTCCTGCCTGAAATGGGCAACGACCGCGGCCCCTCGCCAACAGCGAACCCTGCTCAGAAGGAGCAAGAACCTGCGAGGCGGAAATTGATCCATTTCCGCCGCCTGGGACCCAACGTCCTGGGACCCCAGCAGGCGGTAGATATGGACAGATTTGGCCCCCACGGGGCCCGAGTATATCCATATCCACCGCCCGCCGACGCCCCCGCCCGAAGGTCGACCCTCCCGGCTGTGGTTATGGATAAATCCCCGCCTCGGAACAGTGCTGTTGGGCTCTGTCCCCCCTGCTTCTGTGCCCATGTCGATCGTCCCGAAGGGGGCGGGGCGGGGGGGGGGCGCGCGCTCCCCCGGGGCGGGGTGGGGCACACCCGGGCCCCGAGCGGCGAGGCGCGGGCAAGTGGGGGGGGCCGATGCTTCCCCCCCTCGAGCCAGCTCCCCCCCCCCCGTCGGCGCCCCCGAGAGGGGAGGCGCCCGGCCCGGGCAGCCACCGCCCCGAAGAGGAGATCTGGGCCAGCATCCTCCTCCTCATCCTTCCCCTCCTCCTCCTCCTCCTCCTCCTCCTCCTCCTCCTCCTCCTCCTCCTCCCCCTCCTCCTCCTCCTCCTCCTCCTCCTCCTCCTCCTCCTCCTCCTCCTCCTCGTCTTCTTCCTCCTCCTCCTCCTCCTCCGCCCTCGGGCCCCCGGGCCGCCAGGAGACTGCTCGAGAAGAGACGCCAGCCCTGAGGAGAGGGTGGAACCTTCCGGGGGGACCTGTTTTCAAAAAGCGAGCATTGGATGAACGGGGAGGGGGCATGGAGGGCTTCCGGGCGGCAGCCTCAAACGCAGACGTAGAGTTCCGAAGGGACAGGCCAGCGCGCCGGCGCCGTGGCGGGTGCGCAGAGATCTCGCTTCGTTTCCAGGCGCTTCGCGTGTGATGTGCTGGTGTGCGCAGTCATCCCCATGTGCTTCCTCATTGCGCTTTACCGTCCAACTTGCAACTCAGTAGCCTGATGACCACCAAAAGGGCAGAAAGACGGGAGGCTGCCCAGACCCCTCGAGTCGTAAAATATACGCACGACGGATTGTTTCTGGCAACACAAGGGAGACCCCACATGAGAACGCATCTGCTTGTAACAACAATATAGGTCGGAGTGTGAAGACTAGGACTCAGGGATGTCGTTGGAAGCACAAGCGACAAAAACATGTGGAGGGTGGAAAGAAGGGACAGGGAAGGAGGAGGAGGAGGAGGAGGAGGAGATCCGTAGCCATTTTGGCTCAAATGGCCGCAGGCCCCCTAGGGGCGGCGACGAGCCGCGCCGCCATAGCCGAGGAGCCCGCGACGCACCTCGAGCCAGCCGCCATGGCTTGGCACCAGCAGGACGCGCTCTCGCAGCGCGTGGAGCCAGCCCTCTGCAACCAAGAGGACGTCAGCTACAACTACGACTGGAGCAAGTGGCGGCACAAGCAGGACAACCACAGCATGGCCCGAGCTGCAACCGCAGCTCTGTCAAGGAGGGCACCTCGAAAGAGGAGGACCCAGGACGCCTCCCAGGGCCCTGGCCCGAAGAGGCCAGAGGACCTGAGGGGTGAGGAACCAGCAATAGCCCAAAGAGCAGAAGAGCCCAAAGGCCCAAGGACCGCAAGCAGTTCCCTTTCAATGCAGAGGCCGAGAGCTTCATCCGTAGTCTCGTGCGGCAACAACATCCCAAACATCGGGGAGGGCCAAATCCGGGAGGCCACCTACATCGCCGAGGAGACCAAGGACACCGCCGAGGAGCCCAGGAAGGCCACCAGACCCGCCCAGGAGCCCGAGGAAGCCGCATGCATCGCCGAGGAGGCCATCTGCATCGCCGAGGAGACAAGGGGCACTGCCGAGGAGCCGAAGGAGGCCTCTCACATCGTCGAGGAGCCCAGCGAGGCCACCTCCATCGCCGAGAAGGCCACCCGCATCGCCGAGGAGTCCGAGGAGGCCACCTGCCTCGCCGAGGAGCCGCCACCGCACCCGCCCCCCCGCCCCCCCAGGGATGGCGACGGCATGCTGCGGGCAACGGCCGCCCTTCTTGGGGGGGCTGGCGCAGGGCGTGAGTGGGACGCGCCGGCTCCCGATCACACTGCTCTGGGCGCGCGAGACCCGCGCTCGCCGCAGGAGGAGGAGAAGGAGGAGGAAGAGGAGAAGGGGGAGGAAGAAGAGGAGCAGGAAAAGGAAGAGGAGGCGGAGGAGGAGGCGGAGGAGGAGGAGGAGGGATGAGTTCTTTCCTCTGCAATCCCAGAGGGCAGGACCGATGCTAATGACTTAGCGGCCGCGACTGCGGCTTCGAGAAACATCTCGAGGGGTTGCTGCCTTCGCAGCAGCCTCCCGAGCCTGAATACGTGCCACGAGAGCGCGCATGCCAGGGGTCTGAGGCAGGGACTCCATCCCACGCAGAGGCTGGCGAACGTCAGGCGGTGGCGGCAGAGCTGCAGCATACTGCATGTAGGCCGCTCCGCGGCGACTCGACACGCTGAGCCGAGACCCCTCCTCCCTATAATGAGGGTGCTGGCCTTCAAAGATACGACGGAGGGTCGTGGGGGCCCCTGCCAGCTTGCGCAGTGGACAGTCGCGGCCAAGAAGGACACCTCTTGGCCGTGTAGGCCCCACACGTCGCACAGAAAAACATAGTGGCCTCGACATCGTTCTTGGTCACACGCGTATGAGCAAGCGTGTGGCCTCTGCTGAAATCGAGGACCCCCCGCCAGGTCTTGCTGGGCCCAGGGCAGCCGATCATTGGTCTGGTGGACGGGCCTTTCCAAAATGACAGGCATCTCAAACAACGAGCTCGTCCTTGCTAAAGGGGTTCCCACGCGTGCCAGCCCCCTGATTTGAGGAAGCGTGCGCGGGGCCCCGCAGGGGAGCGTTCAAACCGTTCAACCTCGAAAACACACAAAACTTTGGCCAGAACTCTGGCCGCGAATTTCAACTTGACTAAATTCGACTCGATAATGTCCGAATTCATGTTCGAGGGACGGGGGTGGAGAGAGAGGGCATGTTTGGCGAGCGAGTCAGCGAGACTGTTGCCAACGGCGATCCTCTTGTCCACGGGCGAGAGCGAATCGATAACCTCTTGCGACCGATGCGCTGGTGTGTGCTGCACGACGATATCATGATCACGTTTTTCATGAAGCAGTGCCCCTCGTCGCATGCCTGCATAACGGTGCTTGGCCGACGTCTGGTGCGTCGGGCTGGCGAGGCAGACCTTGACCACAGTCATGCAGTCACTGATGCGAGTACCCGTGCACTCTACATAGATGGGCAGGCAGGCCATGGCTTGGTGCTCGGCCGCCTGCGGCGTCTGGGGAAGAACGTCCCACACGGTTCCTTTAGCGTAGGCCAAAATGGATTCACCTGGGCCCAGAAACACCCACGCATAGGAGGCGCGGCTAAGTTCGCGCACCG